GGGCGGAGAGCTCGGTGGAGCCTGCGGACCGAGGCCTTCTCCTCTCTACAACACAAATTCGGTGGCAACACGGCATTCGGCAGTCACTGTCGCCGTCTTCTTGATTACGTGGAACCCGGACAAGTTATGAAAAGGAGGCACTCGGAGAGGAAAGCACGAGCAGGTCGACGAGGTAGAAAAAATTTATGTCAAAATCCACTTTGGTTCATCATCTCACTCTAGAAACTGAAGAGAGTGCATGGCATGCTCCTCCTAGGAGTCAACCACAAAGCACACTCTTACCAAGAGCATGCTTGCAAGCACACTCTTCCCAGGAGCATGCTTTGCAAGCACACTCTTCCCAGGAGCATGCTTGACAAGCACGCTCTTCCTGGGAGCATGCTTGCAAGCAAGGAGAGTGCTTGAAAGCATGCTCCTGGGAAGAGTGTGCTTGCAAGCATGCTCTTGGGAAGAGTGTGCTTGCAAGCATGCTCTTGGGAAGAGTGTGCTTTGTGGTTGACTCCTAGGAGGAGCATGCCATGCACTCTCTTCAGTTTCTAGAGCAGTCATGGTTTGACTCAAACAATGCCTAAAATTTTACCAAAAGAATTGAAACAATATTTAAATTCGATTCATTTTTTCGGTTTTACAGTTCGTACAAGAGCGCTTGGGGGCAAGAATTTCGTTTCCAACCGAAACCGGGGAGTCCACCACGCCGAGTGAGTCCAGAACCAAATTATTGTCCCGACCAAATTGTTCCACCCGATCCGACTGCGCCTCGGAACAAACTCCGACACGGGACAATAAAAGCCACGGGCCGAGTGATACATACAAGGCACGCATATACAGATATCCCCCACAATGCAGTGCGCGGCCGGCGCAGCGGCGTCGCTCTGTCTCTCTCGCACTCACGGGGCGGCCCGCAGGAGTGCGAGGGAGACGGGGCGGCCGCCTCGCAGGGGGAAAATGATTAATACCTGAGCTGTCAAAAGGAGCCGGGTCCGGGCCCGCCTTCCAATGGCGGGGCAGCCATGAGCGAGCCGGAGGAAGGGGAGGGGGAGGGGGACCACCTACCGGCGGGCTCGGCCTGGCTCGGCCTGGCTCGGCTCGGCCAAGAAGAGAGCTAATAATATTATTATTCAAGTCAGTGAAAACCAAGGCCCATTACCGGGACGGTCCGGGGCGGTCGGCTAGGGTGCCCGATGAACCGATCTCGGGGAGGCTGGGCAGCGCTGGGCACAGTGGGCCAGAAGACCGGTGGACTCAGCCGAAACTCTTGACGCGGTTTGAGCTCCAGAGTCGCTAAATGGGACTCGAACCGAACGTATGGCCCCACCAATCGATTGCTCTCAGAACGACGGTTCCACTGGTGGGGTCACACGTCCGGTTCGAGTCCCATTTAGCGAGTCTGGAGCTCAAAACGCGTCCGGGATTTTGACCGCCTCCACCGGTCTTCTGGCCCACTGCGAGCTTGCGCTTTTCGCAGAAAAACTCTGAACGCGCGTTTGGCCGCCGCTTTCCGCTTCGCAGTGTGCGTGCTGCCCCAGCCCAGCCCGCCGCAGACAATTATGACAAAGGCTCAAAAAGCCAAAACGAAAACACCGCAGACGCCGCGCGATCCCCGGCGAAGCGGCCGAAGCAAGCCATTATCCAATTACACTCTCAAAATAAGTCGTTGCCATTGTTTCGGCCAAACAACAACAACAACAACAAGAGTGGTCCGGCGGCAGTCAAAAAATGGCGGGACGATTCACGCGCGGACGACATCGTTAAGATGGACCCCAGGCCCCGGGGTTCGAATACCGCCAGAGTTCTCCTTTTTTTCCGCCCGGTGATTTCAAATTATCTCTCCACCACCCCTGCGAGGGCCACATGGGCCCCTGATGGGGCAGGCCTCTACGGGCAGCACTTAAATGTGCATCAGGGCCGCCATAGCAAACGCAACGGAAGTTCACCCCTTCCCCTTTTTAGCCGCACCGTGACACGCAAACTGCCCACGCCTGGTGGCTCCGAAGGGGCACAGCAGGGTCCGACTTTAAACTGGAAAGGAGCTGCTAGCAACAATGTCGCGTCGGAAATGAGACAGTTCGGATCGCTCATTCGTGGTGAGGGTGGCTCCCAGGCCCTGCCACTGATTTTGGAAAGTGTCGGGGGGAAAAGTCAGCATCCCGACTGCAGGATGTTTGATGAAATATTCCCACCCCAAAATCAATTTGCCGGCACCTCCCTACATCAAGCACTGCCGGCACATCTGCCCCATCCTTCCACCACCTTCCCGGGGCCGAGGCCCAGGCCTTTGGCCCAGGCGGCCAGACAGAGCAGCCAGCCAGCATCCCCTCGTCCATCTCCACCCCGCGGTGCCTCGCATCCATCCGAGCTTTTTCGGCTGCAGATGTTGGCACCCACGCCGCGGCGCGCCGGGAGCACTCCGATCCGATGAGTTGGCCGCCCTGCCCGGCCCTGCCCGGCCCTGCCTGCCGAAAGAGCCCCAGGAGCCGAACCCCGCGTATGCAAAATGGCCACACTTATGGGTGCTGACGCCCCGGCCGCCTGCCTCGGCTGACGCGTTGGATCGCGCCAAAGTGCCCGGCCGGCACAGTAGCCGCCGCGGCCTACCCTCCACAAAATTTAAATTAAAAAAATTATCTAACAGATTTTTGGCTGACGCGTTGTACAGAATTTTGTACCAAACAATTCAACATTTACCTCAGCTAAATCATTTTTATTTTCATTTTTTTTTTGTTTTTAAGGTGGAAATACGGCAGTTAAAAACTGTTACGTTCAATTTTTTCTTTATTTTGCTGTATACACTGTATCTTGTCGCACGGACCCCTACACTCACACTCGGAGTGTTCATAGACACTTACGCGCCGCGCCATGTTGGTTGCACGGCCGCGTTATTGCTCGCTTTACAAAATTCAATATGGCGAGCCAAGCACAGCGAGACGCTCTCCCCTGCAGATGGCGCGGCGAGGGGCCTATTGCCTCGAAACGCACGGACGGACGGACGGACAGACAGACAGACAGACAGACAGACAGACAGACAGGCGAAAATGCAGCGGAGCACACGACAACGCAAGTACATCAAACACGACTTAAGGTTACTGTAAAGTTAAAAAAATGTGAAATATCATTTTTCAAAATAATTGTGGCATTATGTTTGTATTTAGGTTTCAGGTTGCTTACTATAAGATGAACTTAAGCCCAAAGTTGAGGCACTCAACTCCCATTATTTTCTGAGTTATTGAAGTTTACGTAACAAATTTAGTCGTGAACTAAAAATTCTCCTTGCGATGAACCAAAAGTTGTCGAGACTTGTTTTTTGTTTTACAAGCTCTTTATTGATTTGCCTATCTCGTAGCAAAGCCGGATTTCCAAAATTCCAACATGAAACAGGAATTTTTCTCAAAAAACACAAAAAAATACCAAAAAATAGCAAAATTTTACCAAATTTAAGTAAAAAATTCAAAACGCATTTTCCAAACAGAAATTACAGCTCATCTATGCATATATTGTGAAATCCGGCTTTGCTAGTCTGTTTGCATGTCCATTGGGCCTTAAAATAAAAAATCACACCTCCGTAAACTTTTTGGTTCATCGCAAGGAGAATTTTTATTCAACGACTAAAATAACACTAAAACCCTCATAACTTTGGAACTAATGGGAGTTGGGAGTCCAGTCTGTGGCTGTAAAAGTTTTTTATAGTAAGCAACTAAATCACCAAAAACCAAAGCACTGCCACCTATACTTTGGAAGATAGTTTTTTCACCTTACAGTAACCTTAAATAAATTGCCGGAAATCGGGAGCAACCCCAAGTTTATAGAAAATCATGCAACCCCAAAAGAAAAACAAAAACACTGAGTGAGGATTTGAACCCGCGTCTGTCTATCTATCTGCGGTCGAGCGGGACGGGTGACCGCCTGCCCGCTGTCACTCGAGATGTTCACACCACCCCTGACGCGCACCCCTAGCGCGTTCAACAACACCACACGCAAGGGGCAGCCCTCTCCCTCCGTGCGCGCGTGCGTGTGAGTGCGTGCGCGTGAGTGCGAGGCCATCTAATGAAACAGAGACAGATAAAACACGCGTGCGGCGCCGTGCGGCCACAGATGCTGCCGATTGCGGCACTTGCGGCGACGACACCGCAAAAACGGCGATAAACGGCGCCACACCCAAATCTCATTCGCGGCGTGTGTGTGTGTGTGTGTGTGTGTGTGTGTGTGTGTGTGTGTGTGTGTGTGTGTGTGTGTGTGTTAGGAAGGGCGCCTGCTCAGTGGTTCATAGCAGTCCGCGCACATTCATCTATTTTAACAGAATTCGTGCGACTGCAGTGCGGCGAGTACTTGCAGACAGACAGACAGACAGACAGACAGATAGATAGACGGACAGACAGACAGACAGGCGAATGCAGGTGCACACAGTCGAGCACGCGACAGCGGGCGGTGCGGCACTAGGTCCCAAAGCTCAAAGGCGACACCATTGTCTCCGCCCTTTGTCCACTTTTGTCCGCAGAGACAAAACCCAAGCGGGCGGCCGGCCGACCGACTGTGACTCGGCAGAGTGGCTCTAGAGAGGCTTTTATTTAGAGGGGCTCTAGAGGCACCGCCACCTCGAGGAATGCCATGAAATGGATGCGGAGATTTGGAAGCTTAGAGAGTCGGCTTCAGCAGCCCGAAGGTTCAGAGAGGTCTCCTCAGCCCCTTAGAGAGGCAAAGCAAAGGGCCTCTGGAACGTAGAGAGACGGCCCCCTCCAGGTTGGGCTGGAGGCGCGTCTCCGGCACGGCTCGCGTACTCTTCCCGAAGGGGTCGGGTTCCACAAAAATGTCCAGGCTGCTTATTCAAAACAAGGTCCCCATCTTGGCTCTCGGCCTCTTCATATCTCCGCTCCGGGCGGACGCGGGCCGCCATTGAGGCAGGCCTCTGACGACAGCTAGATTGGACGCAGTGGCCGCCAAAGTGAGTCTGAGACGCGACTTTAGATCCCCACCTGCTTGACGCCCTCCTTGACCTGCAGCAGGCCATGAAACCGCGGCACGTCCGCCGGCTGGCGGTGGCGCTGGCGGCGTGCGGCGCGCTGCTGCTCGTCGCCTCCTTCCTGCCCGGCATGCTGGACGACGGCGTCCTCCAGGGCGCCGTCAAGGACAAGGACGGCGACACGCCCCCCGCGCACCCCGGCCCGGACGACCCGGGCGGCTTCCACCGCTTCCAGGAGGCGCTGGTGCGCCGCAAGGCCGAGGAGCACGCCTTGGCCCAGGACAGCGCCGAGGACGCCGTCGACGTGTCGGAGAGGGAGGCCGCCAGCATCATCGTGAGTCCAGCGGTGGAGGCTGCCTTGCTTGGCGGCGGCCGCACAGTGGGCCAGAAGACCGGTGGAAGCGGCGACAACTCAAGACGCGTTTTGCGCTCCAGAGTCGCTAAACAGGACTCGAACCGAACGTGTGACCCCACAAATGGATTCCTCGTCCGGAGGGCAATCCCTTGGCGGGGTCACACGTTCGGTTCGAGTCCCATTAAGCGGCTCTAGAGCTCAAAACGCGTCAAAAATGTTGGCCGCCTCGCCGGTCTTCTGGCCCACTATGAGCCGTCCCTCCACCATAACGGCCTTCTTGGTGCGCAGCGCGCCGCGAGTCGCTGGAACGAGCACCGGCTGCAGCGGGTGCAGGAGGTGTGCGCGCGCCACAACCTGGGCCTGTACCGGTCCTCCGCCGTGGCACCCGACTTCAAGCTGCCGCCCACGCCGCAGTACGCCGTCTTCTACTACGACCGGTCGCACAAGATGGCCTGGTGCCCGCTGTACAAGGCGGGCTCCACGTCCTGGCTGTACAACCTGTGCCTGCTGGGCGGCTACTCCGAGCGGGAGCTGCAGGCCACCCAGGAGCAGCTCAGCACGCTGGCGAGGAAGGCCTTCCCGGAGCTCGAGTACCCCGAGGCCGAGGAGGTACGCACCTCACGCTTGCCGAGGCGGAGTGTCACAGTGTTTTTGCCAGAAGACCGGTGGAGGCGGACGAAACACTAGACGCGTTTTGAGCTCCAGAGTCGCTAGGTGAGACTCGAACTGAACGTGTGACCCCACCAATGGATTCCTCGGTGGGGTCACACGTTCGGTTCGAGTCCCATTTAGCGACTCTGGAACTCAAAACGCGTCTGGAGTTTTGACCGACTCCACCTGTCTTCTGGCCCACTGTGAGTTTCCCGAGTACTTTCACGACTTTTTTGCAGGCCCTCCGCGGCAGCCGCAAGATCCTGGTGGTCCGCCACCCGCTGGCGCGGCTGCTGTCGGCGTACCGCGACAAGCTGGAGAACCGCGTGGCGGGGGCGGAGCACGGCACGGCGCACTTCTACCGCAAGTACGGGCGCCGCATCGTGGACAAGTACCGCGCCAAGAAGGACGGCGTCGCCGTGGCCACCAGCAGCCTGCTGCAGCCCGGCCACGTGGTGCGCGACCCCGCCAAACCCGCGCCCGCCGACGACGAGCCCACCTTCAAGGAGTTCGTGAAGTACCTCATCGACGTCGACCTGGCCAACTACGCCGACGACCACTGGATCCCGTACTACCTGTTCTGCACGCCGTGCCTGCTCAACTACGACATCATCGCCAAGGTGGAGACGTACCTGGAGGACCAGGTGTACATGATCCGCGCGCTGGGCCTCCAGGACACCGTCAAGCCTCGCTGGAGGCACCGAACGTCGCCCCAAGGCCCAGAGGGGCTGCCGTCGTCCTCGCCCCAGGACGTCAGCCCCACGGCCAGGGCCTACTTCGCGCAGATCACCGAGCACGAGCTGCGCGCGCTGCACCAGAAGTACAAGCTCGACTTCGAAATGTTCGACTACGCCATGGAGGACTACCTACCTTATGTCTCGCCCAACTGACGCTGACGCTGCGAGATGAGATGACGCCGGCTGCAGCGATGGTTGCGTCCTTGTCTTCGCCAGCACACACCCGCACACACTACACTGACAGCAACGCAAACCATCGTCGAAACTTGAACCGGCCGGCTCGGTATCACTAGCCTGCTTGCCGCGGAAGTCCGCACTTCTCCGAGAACACTTAATTCATGGTTTTGTTTGCTTGATCCTATTTTTATGTTTGTGATTGACTGACTGATCCTATCAAAACTTGTGATAATTTGTAAATAAAGCGTAGAAATTTTGAATTTTCGTGTTTACTACTCGCGAGGTCGCAGCACAAGACGACTTCCGGTGTGTCACTGCCTTGGAAAAATCAGCACGAAACCTCAAAAATGGCGAACCACTACGAGGTGCCCAACTGGTAAGAAATTACATTGTTTTCGTGGTTCTGTCCCGATTTCACGAGTAAAATGAAAGTTTCTCGATAGATTAAGATTTTTTCATGCATATTTCATGCTGTATTGTTCTTCTTTGTAAAATATAAGTGCATATACATTGTTTGCCGGTGACCACAGAGGTTAGGAACTTAGCAGAAAGATTGTTTACATGCAGAGATTTGTGCTTTTTAGACTGCAGGGTCTAAATTGAAGCTAATATATATCTCACCTCACCTTCGAAATACTGTAGAATTGTTCTAAAATATTCATGTGAAACCATACACCTACAGGGAATGTTGTCCAAATACGTAACTCGTTTGTGGTGTTCTTGTTTTTATTGTGTTTGCAGGAGAGCTGTCTACTCAATAACATCATAATATACTTGCTTTTCTAATTTTTGTTCCAGGGCAGGCAAGCCTCCAGTTGGGCTTCACTTAGATGTTTTAAAAGTGGACAAACTTGTACAGGTCAGCATTGTGGCTCGGAAGTTTCAACGTATTTGTTATGTCCCACTGATCTTTCACAGTTCCTCATTGTCTATTCCAGAAATTGATGATTGATGAAAAGAAATGTTATTTATTTGGTCGTAACCCTCAGATGAATGATTTTGTTATTGACCATGCATCATGTTCAAGAGTACATTCTGCATTTGTTTATCACAAACACTTGAATCGAGCATTTCTTGTTGATCTTGGAAGCAGTAAGTTTCATTGTTGTTTAAGTCTTTACACAAGGTGTTCCAATCATTGACGTTGTTTCTTCCCTCATGTGACCAGCTCATGGTACATTTATTGGCAATATGCGTATTGATGCAAATAAACCAACACAATTGCCAATTGATAGCATATTTCACTTTGGAGCTTCAACTCGACGATATATCTTGCGTGAGAGACCACAGACTGGTAGCCGACCTATAATGGAGGAATTGGAAAGGTCTTCAGAAGATGTTGAGGGTGAAGGTGGACTCTTAGGTCTTCCTGAAACAGAAACAGAACTTGATGTGAGTAACTTTAACTTTGATGAATAAAACCCATATTGGTTTTAAATTTATATTTGAAAGTTATGACTTATTGTCGCTCTCTTGTTTCCTATTTTTCAGAATCTGACAGAATTCAACACTGCACATAATCGGCGGATTTCTATGCTTGGTATTCAAGATGATGAAATTCGAAACTCCAGTAGGAAGAGGCGTAAGAAAGGTGTTTCATTTAATGAAGATGAAGAAATAATAAACCCAGAGGATGTTGATCCATCAGTTGGAAGGTTCAGAAATCTGGTCCATACAACAGTAGTCCCCACAAAGGTAAAATCATTCATCCTGTTGTACCTTTCTGTTTTGCATTGTTCATGTAGTTTATTAAATTCGTGTTCCTTTATTTTTTTAGCGCTTAAAGACTGGAATGGAAGGACCCCCTAGTATGTCCAATGAAGAAAGAATCCAACTAATGAAGCATTTAACCCCCTCATCTGTGATGTCTCACCTGTACCGAGACTTACCTCCAGAGACAAACACTTCACCTCACGGTTCCCACCATTCGGGTCATGGTCCCCTCCTTTTCTCTTCAGCCATGGCGTCCAGACTCGGTCTCCCTCTGCCCAACCCTGCTCCTGATGTGGACATGTCACAGGAGACAAGTGAGGCAAACGCTGCCTCCCTTCTTCCCAGTGGGCCTGCTGCTGCCCAAGCTGCAGAAGGCGGCTCACAAGAACCCAAGAAGAAAAAATATGCCAAAGAAGCTTGGCCGGGGAAGAAACCAATGCCTGCTTTACTTGTTTAATCCAATTCAATGTAAGTTTAATAACAAATCTGCAAATCACTGCAGATACATTTTTTAACTGTTTTCTGCCCTTTTTTTTTTTTTTTTTTTGTATAATGATTTGAACGAGTGTCAATTTTCAGTGCAACCATCACTTTTTGCTATTTGTTAGTCTGTGATCTGTCACGATACAAGTGTGTTATTGAATCCAAAGTTTCTGTTCTGATACAATTGTTGCTGTACTGTTGTACTATTGGTGAATATCGTGTTGAATGAGCTCTCACAGACACAAGACTTAGTTCTTGGAATAATTTCAGATTGTTTCATATGCTTCAACAGTTTTGTGGTCTGAAAATATGGGACCATCTGTTATTGTTAGTATGTAAATAATGGTCTTATTTTGTTAAAATATGAGATGTACAGAGTGCTTCATTGATGGAACATTCAAAGTACAAATTTGTACAAGGTACAAATAAACGCATGCAGTATGTCAGTCAAGTTTTGTTGATTTGACCAAATTTTCTGCTGACTTTCAAAACTGTCTTTGTTGGTCATATAATATATGAATTTATAGGAGGAAATGACAACACCGGTACACAATTGTTCATTTAACAAGTTTTATCTAATAGCACATTTATGTTTCAAATGCCGCAGTTCATTGAATATATACACATACATGTGTTTTCAAAATGGAAGACTTAGCATTTCTTCTGTAGTTCCTGAAGGTTTTAAAAATGGAAGACATTAGCTGTGATTATTGAACAGAGTGATTTTTGACACATCATCAGACATATTTCAGATTCCAAAAACTAATGATTTTCATCAAAGAGATTATCTGTTCCTTTTCTTCTTGAAGCGAATGTTACAGAAAATCTCTTTTCTCAGACAAAATGGTCATCACATTCACAATAATTTGCTAAGAACAAATAAGCAGTCTGCTTTTTGGAAGACATGTTGAACCATTCTTGGTACAGAGCTATTATTAATTATTATTACTCTGGTGCATTATAACCAGTCCTTAAAATTATTCAAAATATCTTGACTTACTTGCTTTAACTACTGCAGTTGATGGCTGTGAGCTTACAAATTAACAAAATATAAATCGATGCGGATCCTATTGTCATTGGGTTTGTACAGAAATTGACTTAAAATAGAGAAAACCAAGTTGCAGAAGTTTGGTTTGGTAAATTATTTTCCGATTATGGTCTTTTTAAAATGTGATTTGATATTCAATATGCTTACTTTATTGATAATCTGGCAACTCAACATTTGCACTGAATTTACCCGATGCATTCTGCCTATGAGACCTGATTCAATCAAAAAAACAATTTGTGTGACTTTTGCAAACTACTTTACTTCTTTCCCTGTCTTGACGACATTATTATTGCTCTTGCTCATCAAAAATTTACTTGTTAGACAATGACACCTAAGTATAGCAAAATCTGATTTCCAAACCAGAGACGATGAAGCTCACTGCTATTAAGCTTCAATTAGTTTTTTGTAAAGTTTTTGCACAACATTCGTAAAATATATCACCTAAAAATGATTAATCTGTCCCACAACAAGTTTATAAATTGACTGATAAGTAATACCATCACTTCAAGTAGCTTCATGTTTTACTTCTGATTGTAAACTACAGGCAAATTCAAACCAATTTCTTTTTAAGTAACTATAAAAGACAAAAAATCACATATACAATTCCATTTGGAAGACAAATATGCAGTTACATGTTACATAAGTGTACTCTGTCCTAAAATGAACACAGTAAGTACACACATCTAAGAACAACTCTGCTACTTTTAAGTACAGATATATTAATACAATTATTTGCATAAAATGTCGCACTAAGTGCTTAGCAACAATGGCTTTCATAGCCTTGGAAGACATTGGAATAAAGCTTATATGTGTACATGATATATAGATCCAAAATTATACTCTGTGATAAACTTAAAATACAAGTAACAAATCATAACTAACACAAAGTTTCTGTTATGCTCATTTTAAAAAATTTAAAGGCATAGGAAGACATAGTTTTTGAACTTTTGCAGTGTCAGGAAAAAGAGCCTCTAATACCTGCCACAAAGATTTCGGTGGAAGAAGGAAGACAAACCATGAGAGGCAGTTACTGGCTACGTATTGTAGACCCTGCAGCTTCAACTGTACAACAGTACAGAATGCTTCAATCTTTAATTTATTGTCAAGGTAACGTATATCTAATTAAGGGTTGTAGAACATGGGTGTTCTACTTCTCACAAAATTGAGATGTGCTCTTGGGCTCATTACAACAATGCTCTAAAATATTTTAGGATAACAAACGATCAAACAAACAACAAATATTAACAAACACACTGTCTGTTATTTCTTGTTACGAAGCATTTACTTGCCGCTTGTGAGGAAAATCTGTTTTTCAACTTTCTGCCTTGCTTTCGGTTCCACAGGCAGAAATCAAGAAGCCGCTTTGTGGACTTGAGACTGGTTTGTTGGGCACTCAAGGCTCTGACGTAATTGACATACTCACGAATCACACAAAACTTGGAAATGGGAAAGTTACCTTACCTCATATCACGCCTGCGCGGGCCTCTGTGGCATCTTCCTCCGGGCTTCACCTGGGCATTCACCTCACCTGGAAGACTTTTTTCCTCTCTTGCTCGTGCTCGCTCTGTGTGGGAGTCACCGTGGGGCTGCGCTCCGGGTGCTAGTCCCTGGGCCCCGTCAGCGCGCTGCTGTGCTGCTGCAGGCCTGCAGGGCTGGGCGTGCTGCCACCGAGGGCTGGGGCTGGGGCGGGCTGCTCAGGCACTGGCCGTGGCTACCTGCGAGGTACCTGCGAGGTACCCCGTACCCTGGGTACCGTGGCTGGTGGTAGGTCTGGATGGCGGCGGGCTGGGAGGGCTGGGAAGCACTCGGGACACCACTGGACCAGTACCGTGGAGGCTGGCACCGTCCTCCAAGGGATCGATACAGGCCACGGCCTCCCCGCGGCCCCCGCGCCGCCCCCGCCACGCCCCCGCCACGCCCCCACCGCCCCCGCCACGCCCCCGCCACGCCCCCGCGCACGCGCCGTGGCGGCCGCGCCGCGTGGAACGTGGAACACACCCTCCTCGCGTACGCACTACGCACGAATCGAACGGTTTCTGCTGTCCGGTCTCGCGGCCGAAAAAAAATACTCATGGAATTTGGAATCAACTTTGATTTTGACATTCAGTAGCAACGCCGGTGGTCCGCATGCAGCAAGCTCACTTCTATCCACAAGGGATGGATACACTGGTCGGTCTGTCCGCCTATCTGGCTCATTCTCGTTTTCTGCCACCCCCATCCACGCGCCCCACACCAAACCATCCCCTTCATAGCGCGCGAAAAAGAAGTGGCACATCTCAGAGGAAAGGTTCCCGCATCGCTCGGCGCTCGGCACGGCCAAAAGGTTTCTAAAGCACTTTCATCTCGCTCAGCCAAAGACCAGATGATCGATTGACGTCACCGTTCAAATCATCCGCCAGTACAGTGCCACTCTGCGACGAAAAATCGCGAACCCGTCGAGGTGAAGCGTTTATCACTGACGCTCACAAGCCAACGTCTTTTTCTTTTCGCGACGAATATGATCATTCTTAAACGTCGGCTGTCTGTAACTTTCTCCGAGTCTTTTGCGCAGTTGTGATCTGTGCCAGTTCTACGGTGTTCGCGTGACGTTGGCAACACTGCCCCGCGCCAGAAAACAAGCGAAGGTTTGTTTTGTTTTTCTCAGGGCCAGCCCCCCACCGTCTGCCGTCGGCCGTCCCTCTCTCTGTTCAGTCAGCCAGTCCGTCGTCTTCTAGTGCAGTGACAGCTGAACAGTGCAGTCATGGCCGGTCGCAGCTGTATGCACTACGTGCGCCTGGTATGCAGTTGCATCGGCGTCGCCGTGGGCCTGCTGGCCTGCGCCACTTTCGCCGTGCCATCGCCCTACCAGCACATCACCGCCTCGGGGCTCGCTTTCATATCAGGTGTGTAGGGTTAGGGTCATTGCATTCTTAATCTGTCATCCTCGTTCCTTCGTTTTTGTTCCTTTATGTGAAGCTCCAAGTATTCGACCCATTTTCCCAGTCGCCAAAAATATTCGCTTATCAGACCTTGTCGTCTGGCTTATTTCCTCTGACAGACTCATTCCTTTGATAACTACGTACAATCATTGCTTCTCCGACTGAATGATGTGAGAAAATCCAACCAGTTTGCTGGTGTAGTTCTGGCATTTTGGCTGCGTCCTGTATTTATGGATGGTCATCCCTCGCCCAACAGCGTTGTCCCTACTAGAATCACGCATTCCTTGGGTAATGGGTCTTAAAAAGAATTTATCCTATATATTTCTTTTCCAGCTGTATTTGCTGCTGTGTGTCTAACACTGCATGCTTTGCATCACCGAAGTGTACTACAAGTCTACCATTCTTCAGAGACGCTCAATGACCTATCAAAACTAGGATTCTGTGTATTCGTTATTGGATTTGCTCTTACCACCTGGTTCATATTTGATGGTGTATACCATAAAATGGGTAAGCAATTTTCATCATATTCATTTATACGCACTGTGAGAAATCTTTCTTTTGGAAGTACGTAATGCAATTTTCTCTTTTACTGTTAACTCCGCAGGCATGAAGCCATTCGCGGACAGCCCATACATCAGTGCCGTTTGGTCGTTCATGACAGCAAAGTGGGGCATCCTCCTTTGGTCTGCGAGTCGTATGTACTCAGGTTTAATGAACTCTGGATCTCTATTGGGGGATTGATAGGGAAGTTTCACTCAACCATCTTACTCTGAATTCTTGCCCTGTCACTCTCACAGCGCATATTGAACTCTGTACTGATCAGGCGATAATAAGCCTCAGTTCTGTTCCAATTTTTTAATGCTCAAAAATCGGGCTTAGGTATCATGAATAAATGTAAATTCTCATGCCATAGCTTTTAAACTGTGGCTAATAATTGGGTGTTATGCGAGTTCTGTGATTTTATATACCAGTAGGTACATTTTTTACTAGCTATTGTACATTTTGTGCCTTAGGACTCCTTTTATTATTATTATTTTAAGTAGCCTTTATTTTTATATGGTTGTACAGATTTTTATTGTCTTAAATGGATTAATGTTGATGAATTGAAATTCCATGTTGACTGTGCACAAAAGCACTTTGATATTAGGAGTTTAAAAAATTGTGGTATTGTCTTCCATGAGTTATTCAGCATGTGTTGCTGCCATCAACTATCACTGTATTGGAACTAGCATTTATAATGTGTAGGTTTAAATTTTTCATTCAAGGGTAGACTACAAAACTGAGAAGTAGGAATTTAACATAACTGTTCAAATGTTCCTATACTTGTCACCCTTTTAAAAAGATGGAGGAAGGTGATTAGGTAATCTCCACAATACTGTGTATTACTTTTGATCAAATAACTTAGATAATGATGAACTAGTTGGGGTGTGATATTTTGTATTCGAGTCAATCTTCTCCGTCTTTTCTTATTCACTCATGATGTATATACAGTAAGTATGCTAGTGTCATTCGTCGATATCATTGGTGCTGTGAATATACATGCCATTTCAATGGCCATGATTAAAATAACAACTTAACTTTCTGAGAAAAACTGTATTTATTTTACGTAGAAACTGCCTCTTACTTCTTTGCGTCGGAGCCGGGGAGCTTGAAGGAGACGGTGCCGACAGTGTTGCCGCCGTCGACGTAGATGTTCTGGCCCGTGACGAAACCGGCCATGTCAGACGCGAGGAAGACGATTACTTTGGCGATGTCCTCGGGGAGGCCCACGCGGCCCAGGGGGATGGTGGCTCCGACGGACTTGAGGAACTGCAGCCAAGTCAAAGTTGTTCGTTAATTTTAGCCTCTTAAATATTTGTTTGGCGCAAAATCCCGGACGTATTTTGACCTCTGGAGTCGCTAAATGGGGCTCGAACCGAACGTGTGACCCGACCAATGGATTGCTTTCCGAACGAGGAATCCATTGGTGGGGTCACACGTTCGGTTCGAGTCCTATTTAGCGACTCTGGAACTCAAAACGCGTCGGAATTTTGACCGCCTCCACCGGTCGTCTGGCAAATCCACCGTGCGGCGTTTCCCTTACGTCAGGGTAGGCGTCCGCGGGCATGCCGGCGCGCTTCTGGAACTCGGTGACGATGAGGCCGGGGCTGAGGGTGTTGACGCGCACCCCGCTGGCGGCGCACTCCAGTGACAGGTTGCGGGTCAGGTGGTCGACCGCGGCCTTGCTGGTGCAGTACGCCAGCGAGCCGATGACCTGGGACAGAGACAACGACGGTCAGCCGCCGCATTCCGCAGGATCGCTTCGCCGCTCTGTCTCTCTCGCACCCGTGGGCACCCGTGGGCACCCTGTGGGTGCGACAGAGACAGAGTGACGAGCAGGTGTCTCCGGTTACCGCGGAGTGCGGGCGAGCCACGGGCGAGCGGCGCGCCAACTTACAGCGCGCATGCCGGCCACACTGGAAATGTTGACGATGTTGCCCTTGGTCTTCTCCAAGTGGGGGATGGCGAACTTGGAGAGTTGGAACACGGAGCGCACGTTGATGTTGAGCTGGCGGTCGAAGTCCTCCACGTCCAGAGTCTGGGACGTGCCGCGGATGGCCAGGCCGGCGTTGTTGACCTGCAGCGGGAGGGCTGGCTTAGTTCGGCACCCACTCGACCACGTCACCCTCTCTCTCCCTCTCACTCACCAAGACGTCCAGCTGGCCGAAGCTATCAATGGCGGTCTGGATGATCTTCTTGCAGTCGTCGGTGTTTTCGACGGCACCGGTGACTAAGGCCACCTGAAATAGGGAGTGACAGGGTTCAGTATTTCGCGCTGTTGTGAAAGGTCTGCAAACTGCTTCATCACGTGCGGGTGGGCCTCGCGAGTAGCATGGGGGTGTGAGTGAGAGGGGGTGCTCTGTTTGTTGCTCGTCGAACTGACAGGTGGTGTTTCCCTTGGGAGCCGGGCGGTAGCGTTGCCCCCCCCCCCTTTCTTTGGTATCATCATTCCCAACGTGGATCCTTGATGCGGCAAAACATGGGCTCACCTGGTTGGGCTTGAGTCCGCAGCCCAGGCACTCCTGCTGTGTCTTTTTCAGGTTGTCCAGGTTCCTGCCGGTGAGCACCAGGCGGCTGCCTAGCTTGGCGAACACCACTGCAGTGCCCGCGCCGATGCCGGAGCTGGCTCCTGTATAGGGAGAGTGGGGAACGGGTAAAGCGAGCGCTTGAAAATCACTCACTGAGACTTTGAGGCGGTAGAGCTCGAGTGGCGGGTAGAGAGAGGCGCCGGCAGGGTAGGCAACCCAACGAACGTGGGTGCCTCACAGACAGGCGGCGGGTGGCACGTGCACGTGGTTCCCGCGTGGTTCCGCCGCTGCTGCAGTCTTACGATCGTGTGGGTGTCAGCGGGGAGAGGGGGGAGTGGTTTCCTGCGGGTACTTGTTGCACTGAACAGGTGCATGTCGCAATGGATTATCGCCATCGATAAATAGGGCCCGACAAGTGGAGAGAAGAAACACAAAAAGTTACAAGCTTTTAAACGGCGCCAAAATAACCCCTGTCCGTCGAAATTTAGACTAGGAACACTCGCAATGGAGACACAGAAGACGTTTCCCCATTTTTGTACGATTTCGGAAGCCGGCGCGGTGCTAACCTGTGATGAGGACAACTTTGTCCTTGAGCAGCTTGAGAGACTCCATTGTGGCAGTGTGCTTGGCTCGACTCGCACTGACGAACTAACCGTGGGGCCTGACAGAGGTCTCACATATAGGCGGAGAGACTGCTCGCCGGCAGCGCACTATCAAGCTCTCCCCCCTCCACTCTCCTCATGTCGGTAATCCAGGTAGGTGCGCTCATCCTGTTTCACCACTGCTTGCCGCCACACATGCCGGAACATACCGCTCCCGTTACAATTTTTGCAATTTTTTAAGGTTGATTTAAATTTTGAATGGGGAGGATCATTCCATTTTTTTAAAAAAATAAATGCTTCCACGCTGGACTTGGCCACAATGCCGTATAGTGCCAGAAATAGAGTTGAAGTGGCGCAAATCTAAGAAACCACTCTGTCTTGTCGGTGGCGCAATCATCTGCTTTCGTTCGGTCCACTCTCCAAAGCTTACCCCGGGCCAAACTTGTCAAAAGAGAGAGAATGAAGGTCCGGCCTTTGAGGTGTAAGGCTCCGGTGACTTCCCTCCCTGACACCCCCCACCCCCGGGACACCGGGTGGCCGGAGTCTTGATCAGGCCCCTAGGCCACCAGGCTGAAGCTTAAGGGGCTTATCAGGTAAGACGAGATAGAACCTCTAAGGGTACGTTGCACAATTTTCTAGCTAAGCACTTTTGTCGGGGCTCCGGGAACAAATTTTATCGCAGCTCTCGTAATCCGCAAAGCATATCTGGCGCCAAACTCGCCTGCCACCCCAGCGCCACCTTGCGGGAGTTCTCGTATCCACCGCCATTCAAGGTCAAGGCTACACTGCCAGCGGCCGGCAAGCCGGCAGCTCAGCTGACCAGAACGAGCGGGCGAGCCGGCACCACGACGCGTTTGTTGACACTTACCGGCGAAGATTGACGGTTAAACCGTTCTTCATTTCGTCTACTGCGCCGGTTTGACAGCCGCTCGCCTCAAAATGCCGCGAAATGTGGAAATTAAAGCTGTCATCAAGAACTTCGCGTCGTTCCTTCTCAAGGCAGAGGAACTTAGCGGCTCTGCCGGGAAAACGTTTAAACAAGTGGACACATTTTTCCAAGTCCCCAATGGTCGACTAAAGTTTCGCGAAGAAGAGGTAGTTTTGCTTAAAATTTGATAAATACTTATTCGTTATAGGGCATGCCGTTCTATAATGTATTAGTTGCAGTATTTCTTATTGTCAAGTAGAGTCTGAACGGTTTGTTTGATTTTCAGGGACGCACACCACAGCTGGTCTTCTACGACAGACCAGATGAGGAGGGTCCTAAATTGAGTAATTTTGAATGTTGTGAACTGCCTGTGGGTACTAATCTGGTATCTGTGCTCAGTCAAGCCATTAATGTTAAAGGTGTACTGAAAAAGTCCCGAACACTTTGTATGATAGGCCAGACTCGAGTTCATATTGACAGAGTTGAGGGTCTTGGTGATTTTATGGAACTTGAGGTGAGACAACGTTTATCAGATAATATTGGTAGTAGAAGCCTTTTGATAACTTCGAGTTGAACGTATCCTCAGGTGCAATTGACAGAGGAACAAACTGTTGAGGAAGGTGACCGTATTGCGAAGGACCTCATGGAAAAGCTTGGCGTGTCCAAGGATGATTTAATTCAAGGAGCCTACATGGATCATGTATTGAAGAAGAAATAAACTGGAAACGAAGTCAGGTTTGAAAGAAGAATAAAGTAAGATACTAAAAAGAATACGAGTTTATTACTGATAACTTAAATTCCAATTCTACCTTTACAAGAATGAATGGGAGTGCATACAGACAGATAAAAATGCATGACCAGCTAGCTTAAAGTAGCATCTTTACAGCCAGCTGCTCACTTAATAGAAAAAAAATCTGCTATGAAGCTCTTGCAGGGTGCATAGGCACCAATAGAAATTGTGAACAATAAAGGGGTCACCAGGTAAGAGGAATGTAGTGTAGGGTCTTAGAATAATTACATATTGTCTAATATGGTACATTAGCAGTATGCATACAGTAAATTTTGTAGAAGCTTCACACTAGTTCCAAAGCTTACACATGAAGCAAATTCATAAGATTCTACATGTCATATGTATGTCCTCTATGGTTAATACCAGTTCTTACTAAAAAAATAAACAACACAGACATACTACTGTAGTACTTTCTCAGGAGAGAACTTTGATTCATATAATTTTATAATACTTTGCCCTTATAATGAGTAATTTAATGAGAAACGTATACACATTTACTGATCACATACCCCACAGCTTGATTTCAATTGGCTTTTTCACTGTTGATGGATACACATTAGACACTCATTCATAGAAATGAGTTACAGAGACAGTTTCACCCAAAACTTGGTCGTCATATTAATTAATTGGGACTTGGAAAAAGATTAAAATATGCGATGCAATGCTAAGACCCCTTCAGAAGGATTCAACTAAATCAAAATCTATGGGCAACACCAAAAGACACACAAAACATTGAAATTTTGTCATGGTTTCATTACCTTGTAAGATGATTTTTAGAGAAAAGTTAAACTAAAAAGTACATGCAAATTTTCTTTAAAAGAAAGCCACAAAGAAAAATGAAGCTGAAATTAAAACTAATGACATAGTAAAAGTACCAACACAATTGTTTCCATTTTACAAAAATAGTTAATTTTAACTTTGTATATTCTCACGCATCACAGTTATCAATGGCCACCATCATGCTTCCGAAAGAAACTGTCTTTTTTAAACAATACAGAACTATGTTATCTACAAGATAGATTTTACATTTACAATGAAAAGTGTGAAATGACAAAAAAAAGAGTAGAATAAAAGAAAATCATTGACTGGGAACAATGAAGCTGCTCACTTGATAACTGAACTTAAAGGTTTTCATTTAAATTAAGCAGCAGTCCCAACTATTGACACATTACAATTAAGTTATCTGGTCAAGAAGATCGTTTTTGATGCACTTCTCTACAAGCAATGTGAGGAAACAACAGCCTTCCTTAAAAGCCAACACTGAAGGACTCCTAAAACAAGAAAAAAAAATACCAACAAAGATTTATCACAAATTTCCAAAAGGTACAGCAGTTTACTAAACACTACAAAATATTATACAAAAGAGAGAAAAGAGACAAAAACAAAAAGACTGGTGTAACTGGCAAGATGACTTCAAATGCTTTCTGAACCAAGGAATCGTTCGGTTCTGACATATTATGCTAGGGGCCTGTCAAAATGTAGATTTAATGTAGGCAAGAAAAATATTTACTGCATGGTAAGTCCTGCCTTAATTTTCAAAGGTCAAAATTTTGAGCGAAAACAATACGCACAGCAGCTATGGTTTCGAATGACACCAATTTAAAATCTATGAATGAAATGCACAAGTCGATTATAGGAGCTGGATACTGTTGGCGAGATTGGCTACATTTCTATAAGACAGCATGTCCTCAGAAAATAGTGAAGACAAGCATGACCAAATTAGAAGGGGAAAAAAGGAGTGAGAATTAACATGTGCTCTACCAACCACTGTTACACAAGGCTATCCAAGATTGATAGCAAAAGCAAATCTATGTAGAGTACCGATTTGGTGTCCAAGAAGGTACTCCTTTCATTAGCTCTGGTTTTGTGAGATTCATGTTCTTAATCACCCGCCGTTAAAATTTCACATTAGACTGACAGCGTCAATACACTGACCTCAGATTTCTAATAGGTGACTAAAAGGAAAATGAACCACATACAGATCAAATGAAGTAATGTGTTACACTTCATTGAAAGCTAACACAAAACTAGGCAAACTCTCAGCACAGGCAAAAGGAGCTTTACACATTCCTTTCGCTAACAAATGGAAGAAGTTGATTTCACTTATACATTTTTAAAAAATATTCTGACTGCATACTGGTGACTCTTTTCTAGGTATTAACAGATAAAATTACACACCATTTAAGATTTTTACAAGAGTGTGTATGACCTTACAACAAATAGTACGTAGTAAAATTTCCTTATCACAAGTGCTCTCCATGAACTCTGCACGCCTCTATGCTCAACAGAACTTTTGGGGGTAGAATACTGAATGGTTTTCAGTTGACATCAACACAGCACTAATACAAAATAAAATACAGGGAACCTAATAACAGCTTTTTTTCATTTTCAACAGCAAAGATAAAGTCCTCTTTAAAAGGGGGTTTCTGCAAAAGCAAAGCCCAAAGGGCAAGAAGTTGAATAAAATTCAATAAAATACATTAAGTTTTGGTGGACATAAAGGTTAAAAGCAACAGTTCATCATACAGGTAAACACTACTTGGTAGTGATTGGACAAACAAATGTTAACATAAATTACAAACAACGCCACTTTCATACAGCAAGATACAAAGAAATAAAAACTATACCCACAACCTACATGTTAAAAAGATAGAAAAAAGAACCAATACCAGTGCAATTTGTACTGTCCTTGTCCACAAAAATAAATGGAAAGTGACTAATGTTTCAAAAAAGTAAAAAAGAAACCAATGGTGAATAAAATCTATGCGAGTGACTACAGTAAGAGCGGAACTAGAAACACACCCTCCAAATTTATACTGCAAATTTAAAAATAACAAGTAAGTGAAAGACTTGGCTCTCAATCTCCCAAACGACACACTAATAAATACCATACAACACAAATACAAACAGAATTGCACCAAAGAAAAATCCAGCTAGTACCTACAAGGAAAGGAAACAATAACAAACATTTTCCTTTGAAAGACATAGTCCATAAATAAACGAGTGTTTGATGAAAAAACACGAAAAAAGACACAAACAAACAGCAATATGAAGCACACTCAGATTTCTGAATGTGATGTCATGCAAAAAGGAACTGGGAGTGAAACAATACAGGAAAGAAATACACAATGATGACCAGCATCAAATAACAAACATTGTCAAAAGAGAATATTCCCATTGTATATTCTCTAAAGTCCAGAGGATACCAATAGAAGGGGATATTCTACTCTAAGTAATATGGATACCAAAATAACGGAATCTACATTTTTTTTCATTGAAAATGTACATTATGTAAGGAAAAAAGGTTAGAAACTGTGAAGGAACGTTACACAAACTTGCAACAATCCTAGAAGAGTAGAACATTTGAGAAATATCTACGTATCTACATAGTAATATTTAGCATTATTTCCTTAGCCATAGGGAAACGTCCTACTCTAAGGTCTAAAATCTGCAAGACATTTTTCAGCTAAGCAAATAATGTCTTACTAACACACTGAGGAATACAGTTAAGTGAAAAACACTGCTAACACAATCAGCAATGACAGTAACAAGAAACCGAGAAAATTTTCACACTATTATTAGCTGACAAAATTTGGGTCAAAGAAACGAGATAATGTGACAAGCTCACCATCACAATTTGATAAAACTTCAAACATATTTTACTTTGAATCAATCTAAGGTTTGTCTAAAAAACAATTAGACACAGAAATTTCATCCCTCATCATTCTATATCAAGTTGCTGGATATATCCCACAGAATATACCTGCTAAAATTTCATAGAAAATCACGTCTTCACCCTGCACAGTAACTGAAGATAAAATACATGTTTAGAGTGCCATGCCATAACAACAACTTGCAACACGCTTAAAATCAGGAAGAAATGTGCATGTTAATTAAGCATACTGATAAAACCACAAAAAACAAATGCAGCCTTTAACAATCATCACAAAGAGCTAAAGTAAAATTTCACGCATTCAGTTTTCTTAATTAATATCCACATTTCTAAACATTAAGTTAAAGAGAGGAAACACTAGATAATTTACAACAAAACCAACAAGACCTTAGACCTCAACAAACACAACGGCTCAGAACCATAAGCAACACACCCATCAAAATATTTTAAAAAGTTAAGGATAAATACTACATTAAAAGTACAGATCAATCTATTGGGATTGGGTTTGAGTTTAGGATTTCAACTACTTAGAAGCTTCCAAAAGCTTCTGTTACCACAAAAGATCATAAATAAATAACTTGAAGGTCACTTGCTAGTAGCTTCAATATAACACTTAAGTTACACAAATGCAACAGATGCTCTCCAATTATGCTTCCTTGGGCTTTGCAGTTACTCTCTGCGGCTTCGCTTCGGTCTTGAACCTGTTGATGCCTCCTGCAAACCAGGCCGAGTTTTTCGTCCAACTTGTACTTGTGACTGTGCTGTAAGTTGTAGTGAAATTGCTTGGGTATTCAGTTTCTCTGAGAGCAGAAGATCTTTGAGACCACACATTTTCCGACTACTTAATGTAAGCTTTGGCCTTCCATCCTCAGTGTGAGATAAGCCCGTCGTTAAATAAACATTTGATATTCTTGCAGTCTTAATTTTTGCTGGGCGAGTAATGCTTTCTGATGTTGATGATGAAGCAGTAACAGTAGGAACAGAAGCACATCCATTGGCTCCGGACTGAAAAGAAAATTCAGAGTAGGCAAAAGAACAAAATCTCTAATGAAATGAAAATAAAACAATGTGTCTCACCTTCTTAACCAGTGGTTTGGGAATATCAATTTCTGCCAAGTCAGCAACCTCATCTTTAACCCCAGCCACAAAAGGTTCTCCATCTCCTTGGAGCAAAAAGTCAGGATTTAGAATTTTCTCAGAGCATGCAGCAGTCAATGCTTCAATTGACGGATGCACGCCACTGGCAGATCCGTTTCGGGGATTTGAAGTAGAATCCCCTTCTTGTTCCTTGGAGTAGTTGTTGTTGTTGTTCAAACTGTCACCAGCATTCTCTTTACTGGGTTCTTCTTGCTTTAACTCCCCGCTAACCGCCTCAGAAGTTACTGCTTTGCTAGGTCCTTTCTCTTCTTTCTGCAAAAATCATTAAACCAAATGTAAGCAACCTTCATCTCAGGCAGAAGCGCTACCTTGAAAAATAGAATTTAAAGTTTTCAGAACTTACCACAGTTGACTCCTCATCCAAATCATCTTGAAGATCAATGACCAACTGGGCTCGTACACTAGCATCAAACTTTGCAATTGTGTTGACAAGGGGCTTGGCCCAGCCAATGTGCAGGACTGGTGTAATGGAGCCTTCCTCCCACTGACAGATTCCGTCATACAGCCTCAAAAGGTGAGCAAAACATTCCGGATCTTTCAGAATTGAGTGTGCATCAATTCCTGACCCAACTGCCTTCATTACATGGGGTATAAGCTCATTAGCAATTTCCATGAGTTCTTTGTAAAGCTCCTCGTCATCTCTTGAATAATTGTACCTAACATGACAACAAAAGAATCCATTATTATCTATAGTTATCATTACTGTCAAATTAAGACTAAGGACAATTGCACTTACTCTCGGAGAACATCTGCAGCATTAGCCCAACTTTCAAGAGCTTCTTTGTACATTTTATGTCTGAAACAATAGCCGCCCTGGTATGTGTATGGATACACATGTTGGTTATTATAACACTTCCTTGATACATCCACCGCTTGTGAAAACAGCTCTAAACATGAAGGACGACCAGGTGTAGGGTTTATCTCCTCCAAGTCCCCCAAATTTCCTGAGGAAAAAAAGTTTAGATTGTATTTTGGTTGAGCCACATAAGTAAATGATTTGAGACAATTTAAGACAAGCCATAGCATTACCAAGAGCCATTGGATATCTTTCCAGGTGACCATAATCATAGAGCAGCCACAACACCTCCTGTTGAAAATCTGCTACCTCTTTTACGTCATTTGTCATACTTAATGATGGATTTATTGAGGAAACAAGAGCAGTCACCTCCATGTGACGGTCACAGACAACAGGCTGGCCATTAACATACAACCAGGAGAGGGACCCCAAACCAGTCCCAATGGGCTGGCCTCTCTTATCTTCATTGCCTTTACCTGAAAAAGGTCTCAAATTATTGGAGCATGTGCAACAAATAACACAGGTCTATCATCCCACATCTAAAGAAAAATTGAAATAATTTTCCTGCAATTACGCGTACCATGCCAAGTGACTTCTGAGGTTTCTGTGCCATGTTCGCCAAATACAACCCAAGCGTGATCTTCAGAAAGAGCAAGATGAACATCATTCAAGTTCAATACTTGACAACCCGCAACAACAGCCAGGGAAACACCAAAGCAATCCAGCTTTTTGCCTGAAACACCATAAAATATAATGTTTTTCATAGATTCATTAAGATTAATTATGGTACAAAGTCAAACAAAAAGATAACATAATGCTATATTAAGAAACAGCATTTGATAAATAAATCTCAATATAATGACAGACACCAAAGAGATCAGTGTCACTGTTCAAATGCCAAAACTTTATTCAAAAATCCTCATTCAACTCCACTCAACACACATTTCAGGGATGATTCACTTGGGGGTGTGTCATCCCCTGCTAAAGGGGTGAATCACCAGCCAAGGGGTGTGAACAAAGGAGAGGAAACAACCAACAAATGACCAAAAACTTTGATCACACAAACACACAAACAGAAAGAAATGGCCAAACTGTCAACCGGCCGGTCTAAACACACATGACAACAAGAAACAGCGCCAGAAACAAGCCTGCCAGTGAGCCTGCACGCGTAGGCTTACCTGTCAAATAGCTGTAGAGGGACTGGAGGTGGGCCCTGTCTTTGTAGTAGCTCCTCGACAGGGAGTTCCAGATGACATCCGAGACCTTCTTCACGACCTCCCTGGTGGCGTACTTGCAGTCCCCGTAGGCGGACAGGTCCACGGAACCGAGGATAATGGAGCGAAACTGCGTGTAGAGCGCCTCGACGATGTGAAACTCTAATTCAAAGGCAGGCCCCTCGTCGTCGCCGTCTCCGTCGCCCGGGGCCTCCTTCAGAACGGCCGCCCGGTTGCATGTCAAGGAGTTCTCGACGGCGCCGCCGATGATGGACAGCAGGGCGAGGTCCGGGTCCGAGGAATTGACGATTTCGTCTCTGAACACCTCGACGACGGACGAAATGTCGCGCAGAGGGAATAGCTGACGGTTGACCCGCTCCAAACCCGCCATCTCTCCAACTGGTTTTGTACACAGGCGCACCTCACATTTCACATCACGAACGAGCGCCCCCGGATCAAATGTGTTTCTGATTCATAAGATTCGCGAATCACAGAGTGTTTCTTTCACAGCAGACGCGACCAACACAAAGCTATTTCTTCGCATTAATGTTGTTGTGCTCGGTTTCGGTTTTCGGCTACTTGGGTCGCTGACGCACATCCCCGTGATGTCCACCACGCACTTTCCGTTTCGAGCAGGCGGTGCCACCGCCCACCGCCTTCTCGCCGCCCAAAACCGCCTTTTCAGCGGTGTTGTGATTTTGTGGCAGCGGAAGTCAGCGGAAGGTACAACAAGGCAAATACTATGTTAAATTTAGGGCGTTTTAAAGACCCACGAGATTTTAGAACACTTCGATGAAATGACATGACAAGTTATTTTACGTACCTGCCAAATGTTGTTGAATTAGGTAAGTTGCCCTCGCTGAAATCATGTTGACAAGTACACTGGTGAGGACGCCCAACCTATACTGTTATCAATGGGCCAAGTCTGCGGCTGCGGACTGTCAAAGTGGAAGGTGGTCATTTGAATTTCATTCATTTGAGGATGAGTCGACGCTTCCCTTAACTTGGATTCGGGCTCTTTCCAAGAAAACCTTGGCCGTATCGGCTTGGATGTTTCCTCTGCCGGAATTTTGTAATGGTCCAGTATTTTCTGCTTCTGTCACCAGTTACTTCAGATATAAATAAATATTTGTTTTTAAACATTGTTCTGATTGTATTTGTCAGTTTATTTTCTGTAGTTCTTAATATTAATGTAATTCCTTACGATTTACAATACATATCTTTGCTGTAGAAGTCTTTCTCTGTTAATTTATTTTCTTGTTTTGTCATTTTGCAGCTTAGCTGCTCCACGAGTCCAACAACATGGCTTACATGAGCGGAACTACAGGTAGCGAAGGAGCCAATGTGTTCCTTGAAGTGCTTCAAAATGATTTGAAGAATTTATCAATAGAAACAAAGAAGAAGTACCCTCAAATCAGAGAAGCATGTGAAGAAGGAATTGTCAAGCTGAGAAATGCTGCAGCTAATCCACAAACTCCCATTTACTACATTGTTAATCAAATTTTGTATCCTCTGGTTCAAGGTTGTGAAACCAGAGAGCAAAAAATAGTTAAAATATGCCTTGGCATGATTCAAAAGCTTATAACTCAGCAAGCAGTGGATCAGAAAGGAGCCCGATACATAACCGACACTTTATGGATGCTTATGGAATCAGGAACAGAAGAAGTAAAGGTTCTACAAAGTGTAACATTGTTATTAACAACAAATGCTGTGGTACATGGTGATACATTAGCACGCAATCTAGTGCTATGCTTTCGTCTTCATTTTACCAAAGATTCCACCACCATCAATACTGCAGGGGCCACTGTGAGGCAACTTGTGTCGTTGGTGTTTGAACGTGTGGCTGCGGAAGATGAACATTTCAAGGAGTCTGACGCTGGCAAAACAGAAGTCAACCTAGAAGAGCTGAAAATGCCTAGCAATGTTGCTCCCAAGGGCTTACGTCCGTGTGCTGGTGATGCTTATCTAATGTTCCAAGATCTTGTGCAACTTGTGAATGCAGACCAACCTTACTGGCTGGTTGGCATGACTGAAATGACCAGGACTTTTGGCCTGGAGCTACTGGAATCTGTTCTCACAAACTTTTCTTCTGTGTTTTTCCAACATCCTGAATTCAGTTTTCTGTTGAAGGAGCGTGTGTGCGCCCTTGTGATAAAACTTTTCTCTCCGAACATAAAGTACCGCAGTTCTGTGCCAGCCAGTGTCCAGCAGGCTACGCCTTTGGACAAGCCGTACTTTCCAATCAGCATGCGCTTGTTGCGAGTCGTCTCCATTTTGATCCAGAAATACCACAGTCTCCTGGTCACCGAGTGTGAAATATTCCTTTCCTTGATCGTCAAGTTCCTTGATCCGGACAAGCCACCGTGGCAGCGATCCCTGGCCCTGGAAGTCCTCCACAAGATGACGGTCCTCCCCGACCTGCTCAAGTCCTTCTGCGAGTGCTACGACCTCAAGCCCCACTCCACCAACATCTTCCAGGACATCGTCAACTCGCTCGGCGCGTACGTGCAGTCCCTGTTCGTGAACCCGCAGCTGATGGGGCAGGGCACGACGGTGGGCGGGCAGGTGCCGCTGGCGCAGGGACAGCCGCCCTCGCTGCTGGCCGGCATGCCGGTGGGCCCGGGGGTGAGTCCGCAGCCCGGCTTCTTCTCCAGGGGTGTGTGGCTGCCCATCGTCATCACGTACAGCAGCGGCCAGACCAAGTCCATCTACCTGGACATGCTGGAGAAGGGGGAGCCGCCCGCCATCCCGGACGGCTACGGCATCTCGGTGGCGTACGCGTGCCTGCTGGAGATCATCCGCTCCATCTCCATCTGCATCGACGGGCTGCCGCCGCTGCCGCCGGGCAGCGAGGAGAACGACAACGACGCCCCCGCGGTGGAGAAGCGGGCCGAGGAGGAGCCCAGCGAGGAGGAGAGGCAGCTCCACGCACAGCTCATCAACTCGAGCTGGTGCGGGCTGCTGGCGGCGCTCAGCCCCCTCATCGACGCCAGCACGGACGAGTCAGCGTCGGAGAGCGTGCTCAAGGCCGTGCAGACGTTCGCCAGCCTGTGCGGCGCGCTGGACCTGCAGGTGCCCCGCGACGCCTTCATCACGGCCATCTGCAAGGCGTCGCTGCCGCCGCACTACGCGCTCACGGTGCTCAACGCGGCGCACCAGCACCAGGGCACGGCGTCCACGGCCGGTGCGCGCTCCCAGGACCTGGCGCCGCAGTACAGCCACCACTACACGAGCGAGGCCGACTTCCGGCAGCAGGTGGTGGCCGTGGGCACGCCCTTGCCGACGTCCTCGGTGCCCATCGGGGTGCAGCAGGGCCCCGTCATGCTCACGGCCAAGAACCTGCAGTGCATGCGCGCGCTGCTGAGCCTGGCGCACTGCCACGGCGGCATCCTGGGCACGGCGTGGCACCTGGTGCTGACGACGCTGCAGCACCTGGTGTGGATCCTCGGCCTCAAGCCCGCCACCGGCGGCAGCCTCAAGGCGGGCCGCACGACGGCCGACTCGAACGCCGTCATCACCACGGCCGTGATGGCGGACCTGCCCGTGCTCTCGCAGATGCTCTCGCGGCTGTTCGAGTCGAGCCAGTACCTGGACGACGTGGCGCTGCACCACCTGGTGGACGCGCTCTGCAAGCTGTCGCATGAGGCCATGGAGCTGGCGTACTCGAACCGCGAGCCGTCCCTGTTTGCCGTGGCCAAGCTGCTGGAAACGGGGCTGGTGAACCTGCCGCGCGTCGAGGTGCTGTGGCGGCCGCTGACGAACCACCTGCTGGAGGTGTGTCAGCACCCGCACATCCGAATGCGCGAGTGGGGCGTGGAGGCCATCACGTACCTGGTGCGCGCCGCGCTGCAGCACAAGCACACGCCGCCGCTGCGCGACAACCAGCGCCTGCAGACGCTGCTGCTGGGCCCGCTGTCCGAGCTGTCCGCCGTGCCGCACGGCGACGTCCGGCAGCGCCAGCTCGAGTGCGTGCTGCACGCCCTGCACGGCGCCGGCGAGACGCTGTCGCACGGCTGGCCCCTCGTGCTGGGCATCATCGGCGCGGTCTCGGACCACCACGGCGAGAACCTGATCCGCGTCGCCTTCCAGTGCCTGCAGCTCGTCATGACGGACTTCCTGCCCGTGATGCCCTGGCGCTGTCTGCCGCAGTGCATGGCCACGGCCGCCAAATTCGGCTCGCAGACGCAGGAGCTCAACATCTCCCTCACCGCGGTGGGGCTCATGTGGAACATCTCGGACTTCTTCTATCAGAACCAGGAGAAGCTGTGCACGTCGCTGTCCGGCGACACCAACGTGTTCCCCGAGTTCCCCGGCACGCCGAACATGCCGCCGTTCGACAAGCTGTGGATGTGCCTGTTCGCCAGACTGGGCGACCTGTGCGTCGACGCCCGGCCGGCCGTGCGCAAGTCGGCCGGCCAGACGCTCTTCTCCACCATCTCGGCGCACGGCAGCCTGCTGCAGCCCGCCACCTGGCAGCCCGTGCTGTGGCAGGTCCTGTTCCCCCTGCTGGACAAGGTGAGCTAGTCGCCGACGGCTCCAGTGCCTGCCTTGGTCGCCGCGACTCGACTTAAACTGCTTTCCTTCTTTCCTAGGTTCGTAGTCTGTCCGGCGCGGCCAGCAGCGAGAAGGTGGACACCGGCGGCAACATCCTGATCCACCACTCCCGGAACACGGCGCAGAAGCAGTGGGCCGAGACGCAGGTGAGTGTGGCGCGAGTTGGAAGAACCCCCGCAGCTGGAGTGGCCTTGTTCTGACCCGCCTTCCTCGCGCAGGTGCTGACGCTGTCCGGCGTGGCGAGGATCTTCAACACCAAGTGCGCGCTGCTGCTGTCGCTGGGGGACTTCCCCCGCGCCTGGTCGCTGCTGCTGGAGTTCATCGAGCACTCGGCCCTCAACAAGAACAACGAGGTGTCGCTGGCCGCGCTCAAGGCCTTCCAGGAGGTGCTGTACGTCAACAAGCAGGGCGGCGGCAAGGCCGAGGACGCCGTCGGCGCCGTCGGCAAGGCGGAGGACAGCAGCATCTCGGAGGAGGCGGGCGTGTGGTCCGTGGCGTGGCGGGTGTGGCTGGGCATCGGGACAGAGAGCACGGCGCCGTCCGCGTCCCCGTCCGCCGACGACGCGTACGTGCCCTCCCAGGCCTTCCTCACGGCGCTCATCCAGATCTTCCCCGCCGTGTTCGCGCACGTGCGCGCCGACTTCGGCCCGGACGACCTGGAGCGGCTGTGCGTGGTGCTGCAGCACATGGTGAGCGTGCCGGTGCAGGCGGACGCGTCCATGTTCCTGCTGTCGGGCACCTCGTCGGCGGCGCTGTCGGACGCGGCGCTGTCACCGCTGCAGGAAGGCGTGGTGCACTGCGTGCGGCTGCTGCAGGAGCACGCGCTGGGCAGCCTGGCTGCGGACCCCGCCTCGCCGGCCGCGGGCCCGGCCATGGTGACGGCGCTGTTCAGACAGCTGCTGTGGTTCAGCCGGCTGGCGTGTCAGCGCGACGCGCCGCCCAACTTCGTGCCCTTCGGCGAGAAGATGCTGACGCTGGTGGTGTCTCTGTACGAGGAGACGGCGGAGGAGCCCGCCGTGGTGGAGGGCGGCGTGCTGCAGCGGCTCGTCGAGGCCCTGCGCGTGCCGCTGTCGCTCAAGTACCGCTGCCCCGCGGCGTCCACCTGGCAGCTCGGCGTCACCTGCCTGCTGGCCGTGCTGCACCGGGGCCTTCCCCTGGCGCGCCGGCCCAGCCAGCGGCAGCACTACGAGGGCATGTGGCCCGCCCTGGCCGACACCCTGGACCACTTCCTGTTCCCGCAGGACCCGCCGCCCAACGAGGACGTGCAGGCCGACGAGGCCGTGGACTGCCAGGTGCGCCTTGTTCTGTTCCAATCGGCACACTGTGGAAAGGTTCCACATAGTTGAAACCGTCTTCGTCCGCAGGTGATCGAGCTGGTGCGCGACGAGGTGCTGCCGTACTCACCCCTCGTGCCCAAGGAGTTCGTACTGCGCGTGGTGGTGCTGCTCAACAAGGGCTCCATCCACTCGGCCACCGCCAACTCCACCCTGGCCAGCACGGCCAGCCACGGCTCGGGCGCCGCCGACTCCGAGTCCGAGCTCAAGCTGCGCGAGGAGTTCGCCAAGACGTGCTTCGAGACGCTGCTGCAGTTCTCGCTGCTGGACGGCGTGGAGGCCGAGCTGGTCCGCGACACGGAGGGCGGGCTGGCGGGCCGCCTGGCCGTCACCGCGCTGCTGCACCGCTTCCAGGTGAGTGCCGCGAAAAGCCACCACTTGGCGGTCTTTGAATCGCCGACACTGACCCCCCGACTCCTCTCCAGGACGTGCTGTGCCGCTACGTCGAGGACGAGAGGCACAGCGGCAGCTGCCCGCTGCCGCGCTACCGACTGTCGGAGATCTCGTTCGTGCTCAAGGCCGTGGCCACCCTGGTCATGTCGCTGAAGAAGGCCCACGCGCACCCCGGCAAGGTGGACCGCCTGTCGTGGGAGCAGCTCATCGGGCTGTACCCGCACCTCGTCAACTGCACCACCACGGCCTCGGCCCAGGTGTCGCGGTCCCTCAGGGAGGCCCTGCTGCAATACAGGGACCTGTTGCAGCCCCCCGCCGCCGGCACCGCTCCCGCCTCGGCCTCCAACACGCACTCCTCGCTCACCAATGGCGTGTGAGCCGCGCGCAGGCTTAGGGTGGTTTAGTGGTCAACTTAGTTGCAAATTTATCTTTGCTAAACTACCTTAACCCGGAGGTCACATTGTGAGACTAGGTAGACTGGTAAGGCTAAGGACTAGATTTTGATGAAGAGGTTTGGAGATTTTATTAATTTGGAAAGATATTCCAGGTTTGAGAGTTTTGGTTCAATCTTCAAAAAGAATGGATAAACTTCCCCTGAGCAATGTTACCTTTAATGTTTGCCTGTAATTTTGTTAATTTTCCCACCCATGGTTCTAATGCCAAATGTGTGAGACTTCAGTGATCAAATTTTGCTAGGCTGTAGTCTTTCTCATGTCAAAAAGTGCAGTCGTACTTTAGGGAATCCATTGTTCGTTCCCCCTTTTTTTAAATATTTAGGGATTGTACAACTTCAACTAAACAGCCTACTTTCTCCTATCAATCTATATTCTAGATGTATCATTCTAGAAGTATCTCTCTGTTTGGAAATGATTTTCAATTGGTGATATTAGATATTAGTTGTGATAACATAATTTTCCACCCTGTAAGATGAACGTTCTTCTTCTTTTTAACTTATTTATAGTACATCATGTATAGCTGTAAAATTTGTTGGTATGAGTTAAGAGTTCTGTCAATCAGACATTTACTCTGCCTCAATTTGGATTGTGATTAATTTGAAGGGAATCAGAGGCCATACTGAGAGGCTACAGGTCACAGATAAGATATTTTCAAATGTCAAATGCTACTTTCTAAACAGCCACCAGAAGACTGGCGCCTCACTTTCCCGTTCTGTGCGAGTACTGAGTAGACTTGTTGTTTTGTACATTTCTATCAAATGAGGGGTTCTAAAGAGCCGTTTATGTAAGGTATTATGTTCTTGGGTATTTTGAGAATGATAGTGCATGCTAGCTAAAAGTGTGTAAAGGATCTTTCTTGTTTCCTAAGCGTACCTCAGTCATTTGATTTGATTCGTGTTCCTTTTCCTTGTGGTACAGACTTGGTGGCATGTCATTCTGCAAGATGTAAACTGCATTAGGTTAAAAACTTTTGGTTTACATCATAAAAGTGAACAATTTGTTTTAATTTTGCTTCTGGGACCTCTCATTATGACACTTTAATCTAAGTTAAAATTATAATTATTTGTTATTGTTGCCTGTTTCAAGTTTAAAGGAAAGCTCTGTTTGTTACTTTTTTTTTGTTGTACCTTTTTATTTTGTGTGTACTTGGTTTTGTTTAAAAGTTACAATGATCAGTATTTTCTTTCTTAACTACACTTGAAATATTTCTTCAATAGCTACATGCTGACATCCTTACATAAACAAATGTGAAGCTACTAGTTATTTTCTGTCAATCTATTCATTTAGAATCTTCATTTTGTCAATGAGAGCAATTCATGCTAGGTCAATTATTGCCATAAAGCTTCTAAAGCGTTCCACCTTGTAGTCTTGCTGTTTTGTTTTATTTCCAATGACTTTCATAGAATGTTTATGTGAAGATAAAATGCTCAACTTTAGAGAGACATTTTGACTATTAGCAAAAATACTTTTTAAGGAAAGATTTTTTAAAACTAAAATTTTGTCTCAGATTTATTCTTTTTGAAGCCTAATCCTTCTTTTGCCAAAAGTAATTTCCACCATAATTGTTCAAGCACTGACATTCAAGAGTATTGTAATTCCCACCACTAATCTATGCTGCTGTTAGGTTTGCATGTGCATTCTTGGTTGATGCTATATTTTTGAAATGATTGCAGTCAAATAAATTATTTGACAAGTACTAGTCAAAATGTTGTATGGATGCATATTTGTGTCTAATATGTTTGTAAATAACCAAAATGCTCATGTCTGAAACATTCATATCTTCCTGTTCATTTTTTTTTCATGTAGCAGAAAAGATAAAAAAATTGAATGCTATTTCTTTACTTTATCTTTTTTTCTACACCTCCTAGATGTATTGATCTTGTAAAAACATGTGAAGAATTAGTGGAATGTAACATACTTCAAAACTTCGGCATTATGATTAAACTTTTATGCTCCCAAAGTATAATGCTGCCACTGTTCCTCTCAATACTTTCCGTTCCCATCAAACGAACCGACAAAATAGGACGATAGGTGGGAAGGGGAAAAGGGAAGTCCAGACAACGTCGGAGCCCGAACGGAACTGCCACATTCAGGCTCACTTTAAGGGCGAGGGGGTTATACGGTGTGCCTACCCTCCAGGCGCGCGATAGGCTACAGCCGCCGTACGGTGCTGCGCCCATGCGGCGGCGTTCCGAAGCTCCCCTTAGGCCGTTAGGCCGGCGGTACTTCGGCTGGAGGTTCCCTATCCTCTATCCTTGCGTTTCCGCCCAGCCGGCCCTGCGCGCCGCACTCGCCGGCAGTAAAAAAATGAAAAATAGAAATGAGACGCCGTGAAAATATTTTTCCATGCAATGTCCGTTTGTTTGTGGGGCCCGAACCGAGAAACCCGTCAACAAACCCCTCGGCAGGGGGGACGCATTACGGAGCACGTGTGTCTTGTCCTTGTTTTCGCACTTCTTGTCCGCCTTCCGGGAGGGGGTAGGGGAGGGAGAGAGAGGGTGTCCTCCTCGGTGAGTCATCCCTCGCGTTGGGGAGGGTTGTGGTGGTCGGGGGGCGGCATCGACCTCCCCCTCCCCTCCCCCAGCGCCACAGCGCGATATCTCGAGCGGCGCGGCCAATCACAGGCCGAGGTGACGTCACGATGACGCAACGCCACCAACCCCCTGGCCGGAGGGTGAGTCACCCGCGATAACTTTCACTTTCGCTCCGTCTCTCTCGCACCCCCACGCGCACCCCCTCCCATTTTGGCGCCTTCTCTCTCTCACCCCCGGGGGTCGGGCCGGCAATTCGCACAGGGACAGAGTGAATCACTCCGGCCTGCCGGCGCCACTGCGGCGTGCGGCGTGCCCTCGGGCGTGCCGAGTGCCCCCGACGGTCGGACGGCGGGACGGGGTAGTGGATTAAGCCCTTCATGTGCTCGTGCCGGAGCCGCTGTTGTTGCCGTCCGTGATCCGTGTTTGGACAGGGCGGACGATAGCGGCAGTGGCCCAGAGAACAGGAAAAGGTCATATTGACGTCAAGTGAGCAAAAATTGATAAAATTTAGTCACGCTCTGCATCAGTGACCCCTCATGACTAGAATTTGACTCGGTATTTTGTGTCAAATTCATATCATAAGATATCATATTCAATAAAAGGATATCAATTGACGTGCTTTTGACGTCAAAAATCGCTAACTTTGACCGTCGGCAATGATGTCATCTTGTCACCAATCATTTGACATCATCGTGACCTTTTTCTGTTCTTTGGGGGCGCCGCAGTGGCGAGGCAGGGGCGTCGCGGCGGGTGGGGCCGGGGGCTCACGATTAATTTTTAACCGTTCTCGCGCCCCGGCGAAAGCATTCTGGCAAAGCACCGCGCCCCGGGGCTCACTATCCGTGATGCAGTGCCAAGGGGTGCAAACGCTCGGCATCGGAAAAAGTTGAAAACACGTCGAGAATATGCAGGGGTTTCTACATCGACAAAAGATATGTATTTTGGTCACTGAGTCTGTGATTGAGCAGAAGCAGCCCCAGCAGGCTGCTCACTCTTTGAACAGACGTCTCACTGTTCCAGGTCTGGCAGGGTTTCCCCCGCGTTTGACGAGTCCATTCATTCCATTTGTCCGCTGCCACTTCCTTCCTGGCCGAGAGTGAGTTCGGCTCGGCCTCGTCGGGGACTAGTTGGACTAGTTGGGCCGCAACCCTTCCAGCCGAGCGGCCTTCGGCCCTTCGGCCCTTCGGCCCTTCGGCCCTTCGGCGTCGGCAGTGGCCGCGGTTTGTTTGCCGAGTCGGTTATTTCGGAGGGACATAAACGAGAGTGAGTTGGGGGGAAAGGGGGGTCAAGGCTTCTCCGAAACGGCTGGCCGCCACCCCGTAATGAACATTTCCCACGCAGCCCTCGAGGCCCGCATCGGACGGCCGGACGACGTCGAGGCCGCCCCTAGCGGACAGGCCACCCCGCGCACAGTGGGCCAGAAGACCGGTGGAGGCGGCCAAAACTCTAAACGCATGTTGAGCTCCAGAGTCGCCAAGGAGGACTCGAACCGAACGTGTGACCCCACCAATGGATTCCTCGTGCGGAGAGCAAATCCATTGGTGGGGTCACACGTTCGGTTCTACTCCCATTTAGCGACTCTGGAGCTCAGAACGCGGCCGCCTCTGCGCCCGGGCTTTGCCCCACTGTGGGCCCCCCGCGCTGCGGACGCTGAAATTCCCCGACAGTATACATGCCAGCGCCACGCGCCGGGCCAGGCAGCGCCGCCTGTTGGGGTGCGAAGCGTGCGAGGCGAGCGGCACGCCTTCCGGTCGCGCCGTCGCTGGCCGCCACCCGGCGTAATCGACGGCATTTCCCACGCAGCCCGGCGAAAGCCCGCTCGGCGGCCGGACGATTGTCGAGGCCGCCCCTAGCGGACAGGCCACCCCGCGCACAGTGGGCCGAAGCCGGTGGAGGCGGCCAAAACTCTAACACGCATGTTGAGCCCCAGAGTCGCCAAGGAGGACTCGAACCGAACGTGTGACCCCACCAATGGATTCCTCGTGCGGAGAGCAAATCCATTGGTGGGGTCACACGTTCGGTTCTACTCCCATTTAGCGACTCTGGAGCTCAGAACGCGGCCGCCTCTGCGCCGGTCTTTGCCCCACTGTGGGCCACCCCGCGCTGCGGACGCTGAAATTCCCCGACAGTATACATGCCACGCGCCACGCGCCGGTTGCCAGGCAGCGCCGCCTGTTGGGGTGCGAAGCGTGCGAGGCGAGCGGCACGCCTTCCGGGGTCGCGCCGTCTCCGTCTGGCGCGCGGCAGCCGTGCGGCAGACAGGGGAGTACGACGGCCACCTCCCGGACGCGGCCCGGCGCAACCCCCGCCGTCGGCCGGGGGGCCGGAGGGGCCGGAGTTAGTGGGGCGATGACCGGCGTCGACACGGCCGCCACGGCTCCACCCCCACCCCCACCCCGGTGGGTACCCGGCCCTCCCGGCTCGGCGACGGCCCTCTCTCTCGCTCGCACTGTGGCCTTAGCGCCGCGGGGCGTGGGGGACGCCTCCGAAGGTGCTCGACGTGAACCGGGCAACAACGGCGGCGTGGGGCAGTGCCGGTGCCCCTGCCGGCCCACTGCGGCAAACGCAAAGCCAAAGCCACCCCAAGGACGCCGCCTACCCCACCGCCTCGGACAGTCGGACAGACCTAGTACACCGTATCGAGTAACCGCGAACCAAGCCCAGCCAAGCCCAGCCTTCCCGGGGCCCTTTTCTCGGCGTGGCTTTTAATGCGCGACCACTTAAGCCCCCCGCCAGGACTAAGCCGTCTGTTCCGGGGCGGCGAGCACGCCAAGCACACCACGCCGGCGGCCGGGCAAGGCGGCCGCGGCCAAATATAACCGCAGTTAGCAGCGCGAGCAGCGCGCCGACGGCAGTCTGCATGGACGTGACAGCAGTGTCGCTGTCTCTGTCTCTCACGCACCCGCACGCATGTACGGGAGTGCGAGAGAGACGGAGCGAGGCACCGCGAGGCAGGGTCATACCATCCCGTCGGCACCCCAGGCGCCGCCGCGACGCCGCGCCGCCGCCGTCCGGAGGGGAGGGAGTTTGCCTTCCCATTTCGTCGTCCGCCTTCGGCGTCTTCCCCGGCCGTGGAGGCCGACGGTGTCGATGTTGTCGAAGGCGGTTCAAACTGCGATGGCTTTGGCGGGCTGCGCTGCCAAACCAATCAAATTGGAGTGACACGGCCGAGACGGCGAGACGGGCGGTCCGTACAGTCGACTGATTCCGAGGGCCGCCTTCGTCGCTCTGTCTCTCTCGCACTCGTGGGCCGCCCCTTTAGGTGCGAGAGAGACAGAGCGACGACGGCGGCCCTCGGAATCAGTCGACTGTGCTGTCTCTCTCGCACTCGCGGGGCGTGCCGTGTCGGCCGTGTCGGTGCGAGAGAGACTGGCGACGCTCTCCGAAGGGCGACATGGGCGGCGCCGCGTCCTTGGAGTCCTTGGACCGCCCTGAGGACGACGCGGGGAGAGAGGGAGAGGGGAGGGCGCCGTCGACGCCGCACGTCCCCGACGACGCCACTTTGATGGGGTGCCGTCCGTAAAAGGGGCGGCGGCGTGATAAGGGGTGGTCCGCCAGCGACGTCCCGCCGGACAGTGCGCGGTGCCCAGGCGCGCAGGCGGACAAAACTCTGGACGCGTTTTTGGGCTCCAGTCGCTAAACAGGACTCGAACCGAACGTATGACCCCACCAATGGATTCCTCGTTCGGAGAGCAATCCATTGGTGGGGTCACACGTTCGGTTCGATTCCCATTCAGCGACTCTGGAGCTCAAAACGCGTCTAGAGTTTTGGCCGGCTGCGCCGGTCGTCTGGCCCACTGTGGCGCGCCCAGCCTGGCCCAGCCCACATGGCGCGGAGTCTCCCTCGAGCCCACAGTCCCCGCGGGCGTGGCGGGCGTGGCGCGGCGCCGACCGGAGGCACGGCCGTGACGCCAGGCGTGGCCTAGCGTGACGCGGCGTGACGTCACCGCGTTTGCTATTCAGTCGGTGTGACCCGGAGCGCTGGCCTTGTTGGGCAAATATGATAATTGGGGGTCCTGGAGACAAAAGGAAAAGGACAGGAGGCTAGCCAAGCTTGCAGTGGGCCAGGCGGCAAGCAGGCGGTCTGTCCAGGTGTGGGTGTGAGCGGCTGATGTATGGTTGTGGGGCAGCAGCGCCGCAGGACGCCCGCAGGACCTCCGCAGTCCTGGAAGTCTCCTTGGACTCTGGTCCAGTGCTCGGCCACTGCAGTGGATTGCGGGGGACGGCCGAGCTCCACGCGGGCAAACTGTGGAGCCAACAAAGAAACGGAATGAACAGGCCCTGCAGGCCCTTTGGGCAGACCCTTCGGGCTGAGTAAGGCACGGGGCTCAGCTGGCTCCAGCCACTCCAGCTGACTGCAGCGGCTCGAGCGCGGCCGGGAACCCGGGAACCTAGCTGGAATGCGGTGTGGGGTACCCTGCCCTGCTGC